TGTGGGGGTGCCCCAGGGGTCCCTGAATGGAGAGTTTGAGGAGCCCTGATTGTTTCTGACACCTATGTTTAGAGCGGGGTGGGGTGCACCATCTGCTTTTACAAGAGAATCAGATCGCTCCCAGGCTGGGGCCCTGGCGAGGCGGAATCTAGGGGAAAAGGGAGAATGCCTTGCTCACAGGCCTTGCAAGCAGGTCTGATGTCTCCCTCCTCCCCTCCCTCTATGTGGCCGGCCCAGTCCACCTCTCAGGTGCGGGTGTGGGTGTGGGTGCTGGTATTGGGGTGGGGGCGGGGGCTCTTCAGGGAGTCTGACCATCAACACTCATCCCAGGCATTTCCAGGCCAACCACAGAGCCCTGGAAACCAGGAAAACTCGGGGACGTCCTTGGCCTGAGAACTGGAGCATGGGGTGGGGAGGTGGGTAAAGTGGGGTGATGTGGTGAGGCCCAGAGGAGAGGCAGGAGGTGGGCAGGGCTGGTCCTCCAGGGCCTGGAAAGGGCGGTGAGGGAGCCGCTGAAGGGGGTCAAGGCGATGAGTGTCCTGGCCCTGGTCGGCCTGGACGGGGAAGGGGCAGGTGTCTGGGGAATGGGCCTCTGGGTCCTACTCGTACCCAGGAAGGCGGGGGCACCAGAGGCTCCTTCCTGGAGGTGGGACTGGACTGACCAGGGCTGCAGACCCCCCACCCCCATGTCCCCAGAGCCCGCGCACCCCCAGGGGAGGCCTTGAGAGAGAAGGACCAGACTTGCATGGATGCCAGGTTCTTTGGAAGCTTGTTTAGACCCGTGGTCGGCAAACTGCGGCTCTCGAGCCACATGCAGCTCTTCGGCCCCTTGAGTGTGGCCACAAAGTCTCAATCGCTCGGTACGTGCATGCCCACACGTGGTATTTTGTGGAAGAGCCACACTCTAGGGGCCGAAGAGCCGCATGTGGCTCGGGAGCCACGGTTTGCAGACCACTGGCCTAGAGTCATGTGTGAGCAGCGGTGGGTGATGTCACACCCAGGCAGCGGCTCCGAAGGCCTCCTCGGTGTTGCGTGGGCGCCGCCTCATGGCAGAAGGCGGTATGGCGGCTGCAAAGCCAGGAAAAGGAAATCTCCCCTGAAAGGCCCCTTCTTCAGGGAGCCAGGGCTCGTCTCGGTGGAGAATGGTGTTTGCAAGGCAAGACCCAGGTGCTTGTTGCCATGGAAGCACCAAGATTTCAGACCCTGAGGGCAGGCTGTGCCTCCGATTGGTCATCCTCTGCTGCCCAGGGCCCAGACTCTACAAAGTCACCTGCCAATGTGTACGTGTTTGTCTAGTACACACGCAAATAATATTTTTTAGGTAAAAAAACAAAACAAAACTAAACTAAAACCAAAGCCAGAAACCAAACCAATCAAAAAAACAACCCGAAAGGTTACAGTTTTAGGACCCTGTATGGCGTTCCCCAGTTTTGTATGTAACCCAGAAATTCTAACGATCTTCACTCAGCACCTGTGACAGTTCGTCTCTTACCTGCTCTCAGAACCAGCCTTACCATCCGCTGGTTATCTCGCGATTGGGTGGATAAATCACGAGAGGGCAGGCAAATAAAGACACGTGGATAAATGGATACATGAATAATGAAATCAGGTTTTAACTCATGAAAAGTTATATACCTGCCCTTCAATTCCAAAGCAGTGCCACATGGTTTGTTGTAAATCTCCCTCGTTCCGTATCTGTAGTTCCCTTTCCCGTCATTCTTCGTATACTTCTCCATTTTTGCTTATCCATGCTCAATATTTGTTTATAGTTTTTTTTTGTCTGAACTGAGTATATATGCTCAAAACTACAGGCAAAATTGTCCCTGACTGTTCCGTTTTACATGTGGTTGGAGTGTGTGCTTTTGGTGGTTGTTGGTTGCCATGACGGCAGGGGTGCTACTGACACCAGTGAGGGGCGGCCAGGGTGCTGCTAGGCATCCTATGATGCACAGAACAGCCTTCCCCCTCCCCCAACAAAGAACTCCCTGGTCCCAAGTGTCAATAGTACAGACCACGAAAACCCTGCTTAACGTTTTATTTTTCTCTAAATGATGCAGTTGGATCTGGACGTTTGAGTCGGTTTAAGCTCAGCTTCGGAGAGAGGACAGAAGTCTTCCCAGGTGGACCTGTGTTGTACATCCTATTGTATCAGGTAAGAAGGCACTAGAGCCCCCTTTATTGGTGATGCACAGATTAATAAGTGAGCTCAGATAGATTCATTATCAAGTTCCTCATTAGCCTTTTATCTGATTGTTTTACCATTAAGGGCTGACAATGGTGACTTCTAATTCTATCGCTTGCTTTCCTATAGCTTCAATCTATAATAAAAAAAAGTGTAACATGCTAATTAGACCGGATGTCCTTCCAGATGACCTTCCGGACGACCTTCTGGACGAAGCCAGGGCTGTGAGGGAATCCTGGGTCCCAGGTGCCAGAGGGAAGCCTGGGTCCCGGGTGCCAGAGGGAAGCCGGTGGCAGCTGGGGGAAAGCCTACTGTTGCATGAATTTTGTGCATCGGGCCTCTAGTTCTCCTATAAAGAAAAGCATTGCCCTACCAACCAGTGACCCTGAAATAGCCCGGACTGGAAAGGCGGGATGCATGCAGGATTCTTCCCCTTGCTCAATTTTCAGAACACCCTAGTCATGAAAAACGTGATTAAGATATTCTTTCTAGGTGTTTTCAGAAAAACCACCCCCTGAGGAACAAAACAGGAAAAGAGTGTGGGTACAGAGACCAAGTTACACCAAGCCCTTGGTTTTAAGGAGTCCACCAGGCCTGCTGGGACCACACAGGGCTCTAGGGGGCAGCAGAGACCACCAGCTGCTGGAGCCGCAACATCCCGGCTTTGATACCATTTCAGCCTCCTTACCACCGACCAGACCAACCGCCTCTGTCAGCTAGAACCTCAGCTGATCTGAGAGACGACATCCGGGCATGGCCGCAGGGAGGGGCAGGGCTCCGTCTGGCCCGGTCCTGGTTCCCAGCAGCCCTGTGCTCCTCTCCCACCCCATCGACCCCTCTTCAAGATGGACAGGACCCGTATTCCGATCTTGGTGTCTAGCTTTCCTTTTTTTGGTGTGTTTCTATGGATTTGCCTATTCCGGATATTTCCTACAACTGGGACCAGACCGTGTGAGGCCTTTGGTCATGGCGTCCTTCACTCGGCATAATGTTTTTAGGGTTCATCCGGGTGGTAGCGCGTATCAGGACTCCATTCCTTTTCATGGCTGCATACTATTCCACTCTATGGCCACACCGTGTGCATCCGTTCATCCGTTCGTCCACCGATGGCTGCTTGGGTTGTTTCCACGTTCTGGCTATTATGAGCGATGCCGTCACCGGCTTCGAGGACAGGCCTTTGTGTGGCCTTGTGCTTTCCCTTCTTTCAGTCCATGGAGTGGAATGTTCGTTGTGGTTCCATTTGGAGGGGGCTGCAGAATGTTTTCCAATGTTTTCCCTTCCCACCAGCCAGGCATGAGAACTCTGTTGTACTCTTTTTATAAAAAAATTATTTT